CTTGGACTTCTTCCTTCAGTATCATTGGCTCTTGATTATATGCTACCTCTTGAAATGGTTGAACATCAGCTTTTGGTACAGTGACTTTGTGCATTCCTTCCATCTTCTTTTGATGTTTTCCGCATCATTCAATAATTTGCCCAGAGAATCCTTCAATAACCAAAGTCGAGGCTTGAATTTTTTCTTCAGTTTCCACAGCTTAAGAAATGCTGAGTGTGCTCTTCCTTTTTGGTTCTCTGACTCCAGATCTTTGCACATGTCATTGTAATATTTGGCTTTATCTTTTCGAGCTGACCTCAGTATGGATTACATCTCAATGTAAAGAAAACAAAAGCCCTCATCGCTGGACCAATAAACAACATTCTTATCAATAGAGAAAAGATTGAAGTTGTCAAGGACTTCATTCTTTTTGGATCAATTATCAACACTCACGGAAGCAGCAGTCAAGAAATCAAATGACATATTGCATTAGGCAAATCTGCTACACAAGACCTTTTTAGAGTATTGAAGAGTGAAGATGTCAGCTTGAAGACTAAGGTCTCATACTTCAGACATATTGTCAGAAGGGACCAATCTCTGGAGAAGGATATCATGTTTGATAAGGTGGAGGGTCAGAATAAAAGAGGAAGACCCCCAGCAAGATGGATTGGCAAAGTGGCAGCATCAATGGGCTCAAGCATGGCAAGAATAGTGAGGTTGGCCCAGGATTGGGCAGTGTTTTGTTCTGTTCTGCGTAACTTTGCTATGAGTTGGTACCGACTCGATGGCACCTAACAACAACAACAACACTAATGCTAAGGATCTCTGATAGCGTGGTGGTTGTGATTCGGGCTGCTAATTCCACAGTTAGCAGTTTGCAATTACCAGTGGTTCCACATGAGAAAGATGAGGTTTTCTGCTCCTATAAAGATTTACAGTCTAGGAAACCCTATACAGGGTTGCTATGAGTTGGAACAGACCCCACAGCACCTCACCACCATCACCACCGCTTAACACGCTACTTATTTATGCCCCTGACATTCTCACATACTGTGGAATTCTTTCTTAGTAAATTCCTGTTTTCTTTTTGACCCTTTCCCCAAATTCTAGACTACCCAGATGCCTCAAAGTCTTCGTGTATGCACATATGCTTTATTCCTCATTAATTTCCTTACCTTTCGTTTTATATTGTGAAACCCCACTTACAGTGACTGGTTCAGTCTTTCAACAGGATAATGAACATAGAATGTTGGAATTGACGAATGGTTCCTCGTCTCCCATGCTGAGAGAATTCTGTGGTAGTGAAGCTAAGCCCAGCGACCAGGGGAAGCATATGAGGTGAGTGTCATTCCCATGAGTGAGCATGCCTCAGGAGAAAGTCTTATAGTAAATCATGGGTGAGAAACTAGCTCTTAATCAGATTAAGTAATAGAAACATTTTTCACTTGAACACAATTATCAGGAATTACGTACTAATAGGTACACACTAAACAATAATAGGTACAACTAATAAGTTGTAACGTCACTGCAAATGAGACTTGGTAGTGCATTGATTAATTAATTGCTTGACTGGTAATCAGGAGGTTGGCAGTTCAAATCCACCAGCTACTCCATGGGAGAAGGATATGGCAGTCTGCTTCTGTAAAGATTATAGCTTTGGAAACTCTATTTGTTGTTGTTGTTAAGTGCCATGGAGTCGGTTCCAACTCATAGTGACCCTGTCCAGGGTTTTCAAGGAGCAGCTGGTGGGTTTGAACTGCTGACGTTGTCATTCATGGTCCAGTGCTGAACCTACAGCACCATACCAGGAGTCCTGGAAACTCAGTAGGTCAGTTCTATTCGGTCCTGTAGGGTCGCATTGATTTGTAATTAAGCCAATAGCAAAGAGAATGTCATAGTTGTGGAACTACTGTATACGAGATGATTTAACCCAGTTAACAGGGTACATTTCAGGGCAGAAAGTATATACTTAGTGTATATGGTAACTGTAAAATGATACATTTTCTTCTAACACCATGCACCTATTTTTAACAGAAGGCATACAGTAGAGACCCTCCATAAAAGTAAAGAAGGAAATGAAAAGAAAAGTAAAGAAGATAAACAGTGTGGAAAACCTTTGATCCAGATTGCAAATCTTACCAGGCACAAAAGAATTCTTGCTAGAATATATTCTGACTGCCGCGAGCGTGGAGAAGCCTCCGTGGATTATTCATCATTTAATCAACACATTGTTTCTCTCACTGGTTGCAATACCTGTCAGTGTAAAGAATGTGGAATAGAATGCAGTTGTTCCTCTTACCTTAGAACTCATGCAAAAACTCTTACTGGAGAGAAACTTTATAAACATAAGGACTGTGGTGGGGTCTGTAGTTGTTCCTCCTCCCTCATCACACATAGAGGAACTCACAAGACAGAGACGCCATGTAAATGTCAGAGATCTGGGGAAGTCATTGGTGATGCCTCAGCTATAATTGAACATAAAAACACTCAAAGTGGGAATGAATTTGGTAGCTCCTCATTTGTCAGTAAACATTTAAGAATTTACAGTAGAGAGAGGCCTAATGAATATAAAGAATGTGGGAAAGCCTTTACTTGTTCCTCATTCCTTGCAAAACATAAAGAAACTGTCAGTGGACAGAGGCCTTATCAATGTAAGGAATATGAGAAAGCATTTACTGTATCCTCAAGCCTTATTGAACATAGAAGAACTCGCAGTGGAGAAAAACCTTATGAAAGTAAGGAATGTGGGAAGTTGTTTTGTGATACCTCACCCCTCAATAGACATATAAGAACTCACAGAGGAGAGAGGCCTTATGAGTGTAAAGAATGTCAGAAAGCTTTTAGTCAGGTCTCAGACTTCACTATCCATGTAAGAACCCACAGAAAAGAGAGGACTTATAAATGTAAAGAATGCCAGAAAACCTTTACTTGTTCCTCATCCCTTCGGAAACATAAAAAAACTCACAGTGAACAGAGGCCTTACCAATGTAAGGAATGTGGGAAAGTGTTTTCTTATTCCTCATCCTTCACTACACATATGAGAAGTCACAGTGGAGAGAAGCCTTATGAATGTAAGGAATGCGGGAAAGCCTTTACTATTTCCTCAAACCTCACTACACACATAAGAACTCACAGTGGAGAGAAGCCTTATGAATGTAAGG